GAAACCTTAGTTCGGCTTGGCGAAACTAACGTGTCCCAGTAAGGTTACTCTCTGACAAATAGTGAAGATTCGAAAGGTTTCCGGGAAACGTTTGTTTCTGGCTAACAAACTAACTTGCGTCCGTCCCTTATGCAAACCCTATAGCCCTACTCCGTTTTCTATATCCCCACAAGCCCCTTAAAGAGATCTGATACCTCCTTCTGAACCCCAAACCCTCTTCATCCCACTACCCACCCTGCCAGTCATGTCGGACACTGGAGCGCAGCCGTTTCCTCCCGCTAACAGCACCAAAGGCCCATTGAAGGTGCCAGTGGTGGCGAGAGTTACAGCCTGTTTTGGGCGTGAGGGTTTTGCAAGAAGGTTAATTAGGCTGTACCTGGAGCTGCACAGGTAAAATTACGAGCCCAAACCCGTAAATAAAGGAGTCAAAAGGACCTCATTATACTACATGCTTCTTGGGTTCAGGTACGCCGCGTGGTTTTGGGAAGAGGGTTTACGGATTCTGGCTGAGAGCCTGGGGGGGCGGGCTGTCGGGCTTGGGGTGGTACTTCATCATGCGTTGCTGGATGGACTTAATTGCAGGGGGGGGTTGTAATGAGTCTACTGAAGCATAATTATTGAGCTGTTCCCACTCCACTTTTGGTTTAGTTTTGGGTTTAGGGGCTCAGAGGATCAGGATTGAATGGAGGACATATAGGAAAAATATGTGGCGACCAAAATGAAACTGACATCTGGACCTGAAGAACAGGGTGCCATTCCCTGAGCAATATCCAAAAAAAGCACGCAGTCTTAAGAAGAGCTCAGATAGGCTGTGCCTGGACTCCAAAAGTAAGTAAAACTAAAACCCAAAACCCTCTCAAAATAGACCAAAGGCCATTATTCTACCTACAGTTGGGGTTCAGGTAGCCAGGATGTCAGGCTACTGACTCCCTGCGTATGCAAGGAAGGCCTACTTGAGCGGCAACTCTTCATTGGGAAGCCCTGGGCTTGGGACTTACCCTACTATTACAACTACTATAACTATAAGAATTAGTAGTACTATTACTGCTGCTGCTGCTGCTACTACTACTACTACTACTAGTAGTACTACTAGTACCACTACCACTACTACTACTATTACTACTACTACTACTACTACCACCACCACTACCATGAAGCCTCAACAATAATCAGAACATCTTCTGCACTATCCCTTGTTGGGCAATCGCTCCGGACCTGTAGCTTTTCTTAACGATCAGGGGGCAAGGTTAAATAGGGGTCAACTCGTCAAACTAGGAGACTTCCAGCTCTTGAAGTAAGGCTGCTGCGAGGCCACCCTTCGGCCCTGAAGGCCAATTACCAATCCTAAAGCCTTATGCTTTGATTCCTAGAACCCCCAACAGACCCTAAGGTCATAACTCATAACCCAGCAAAACCTTACAATTACAACAAAACCGACACTCCACAGACCTAGAACTAACCCTCGAAATCACATAAACTGCCTTGCCAACGCCGGCGGAGTGGGCGACAACGATGTCCTGGCATGACAAGGCTCCTCTCAACAGCTCCCCCTAGGACCACAATCCTTACACCTCACCCTATAATACTTCGATTGCATCTCAAATATAATGGAGAAAGAGCGAGAGAGGAGAGACAGAGAGAGAGAGAGAGAGATATATATATATATGTATGTGGAGTATCTATATGATTCGGGCGGAAGAGGTCAGATGATCAGGGGAACAGTTGGCCAACCTATGCAAGTTGCATACCGAACTCGAATCAACCGTTACCCCTACTGCCAACATAATTTTCTGCACCTTGGTTTGCTGAAATGTCGTTTAGGTGCAGATGTCCTTAGTACCTCCTACGCGGCTCTGACATGCTGCAGTGCCCCAACCACTGGAACTTTGCGGCTGAGGTTGTTGATGTGCATATGTGGCGGGTGGCTGCAGAAATCGGAATGGTAAAGCCTGTGGAGATTGTGTCCTGATCCCAAGCATGTATACATATACAAAATATGGTTACATACATTTGTACCGTTTGCAAAAACCTAGACACTACTGGCTACAGCCACATGAGTGTGGGGTGCCGAACCTGAACTCAGAAAAGCAAGCCCTACATTCTGAGCCTTTGTCATCTAAAATCTGAAGCTTGAAATGCCACCATCGCAAAACCCTTGCTGAAGAGAGGCCGGCTTGAAGCTTTGGCACTCTTTAGCCAATGCCTCTTTCCTTCAATCGAGAGAAAGATGCTTCTATGTTCCCTAACCCTGAGGGTCCATGTACCCACTGATTGGGTACTTGGGTTTTGGGTAATAGTAAGTATCATACAGGTTTCGGGCGGGTATATGATTATTAGGTACTTGGACGCTTGGGATAGATTGAGCAAGCGGTGTATGATATGGTGGCCAAAGTTGTCAATTGGTGTCAGCCAACCCAGTGTGAAGAGAGTAGCAAGGAGTAGCAAGGACCTAGAGGGGCTGAAGGCTTCAGGGGCAGTTGGAATTTCAAGTGCAGTATAGGCTTGAGCGGGTTGAGGTTAAACATTAGGTGCTTGAAGATTCGAACCCGTATGATGTGGAGGAACGGAGGAGAGCTAGTTCTCTTCTTGGGCATTAAAATGCGCAATCTGCGCTTTTAGGTTGTCTATGTGGCTTCTCAGAACTGGAGTGCCTTGAGGGGCTCCAAAAACATCTAGGGGCAATGTGCGAAGTGAAGGAATCCACGTAACAATTGACGGGAAATTTGGTTGAATCCCTAATACCCCAAAATGTTCAACTAAAAACAGGTTCAAGGGTGTGTATCAAGCAAACTCTGGGGGTTCGTCTTTTACAAGAGTTTCAGATTAACGGCTAACGCCGATGAAGCTTCGGGGTCTAGGAAACTTCTTGGCAGGCAGCTGTCTGTAGGCTTGGAATTCCGTGAAGGCTCCTGAAGCCAGGGCAGTTTAGGATTTAGGGTAGGCGGCACCTGGCATGGTAACAAGCCACTCTACTATATACTTGCTGCTTGTTAGCAGCGCTTGAAGGAATGTAAAGCATGGAAACATGGGGCTAGGAAAGGAGTCCGTTTCCAGTCTCTCTAGTAACAACCAGTAAGAGTCTAGTGCTCAGCTGTGGCGAGCGGCGTGGCGGAGTAGCTCGCGTGCTTGACAGAAGGTATGGCCAAATGCCGGAATTGTTGCCGCATGTACGACGGCTTTGCACCTGGAGGCACAGAGCTCGGTGCCAGGAATCTTACAAAATTCCGAAGCCCTGCTGTAGATCCTAAACCATGCCACTGAAGGCATTCTCCGGCGATTCTCCGGTGACTACACAAGCAAACCAACGAGACAAGACATGGTCGAGGCAAGCATATCATATTACCAACACCATGTGGCCTCCTTAAGTTGCCTTCAGAAGCCCCAAACTGGAATAATGACCCTGCCCAAAGAGGGCGTCGATAGGAATGATGGATGCGCGGAATGCTCCAGGTTCCGTGTGGGTATACAAACACAAATCATTGCCTCTGTATCCCTCCCTAACACGGAATCTAAAAGCGGGCGCCTGCGGACAACTGTCGTTTCAAAAAAGTTGCTTTAAGGGGGATCTACGTTAGTTTAGTGGAGCCCTAAACAGTGCAGGTCCTGAGGTCACCAGTTTTATGGGTTCAAATACCCCCCTCTATACTACCCCCCTAGGGGGAACCTAGGGGGGGTAGTATAGAGGGGGGTATTAGTTTAACCCATGACAGTTTCTGAGTCCTAGCCTGCAGATGACAAGGCTGCAGGCTTTGCACCCCCAAAGGCCAAACCCCAGACCCCAAGCACTAAAAACCCGCAAACCTAAACCTACAAAGCAGCAACCAGAGCCAAGCAGCCAGTGACATTGCTGCCGAGCCTTTGTGGAAACTTTGGGAGTTTGCGCATGGGGATTCAAGCATGTTTGCACAATTTGGGAGCTTCAAATTAAAAGTCTTAGGGTCAGCCCCAATGTGCCTTACCCAGTTGTAGCCCAGGTACGGGACTTAGGAGGCTTGTAAAAGAGTGATAGACATATAGTGAAATACAGTTGGAACCGCCACGCGGTGAAGCTTCAAAGCTTTAAGCCTCAGCCCCCAAACCTTATAAGCCCAAACCTATGCAAAGGGACGCAAACAATGTACCTTTTTGGGAACAGTCTGGGTAGTTCCCAAAATTAGGGTCCCCTTCTAGTACCCCTAGATACTAGGTAGGTGCCGTAAGATAATGCATAGCCAAAAGGGGCCCATTATTTTGAGAATAACCTATTTGGGCAATCCTAAATCCTGAACCACACCAAGCCCACGGCTTGGCTGTTCTTGCATGACCTGCTTCTCTTATATGGGGTGCTGCTAAGGAACTTAATTTACGTTGCTATAACGAGTATAGGTTTTAGGGTTTGGGGGTACCATATTGGGGAAACCCCATTATTTACTGTATATATGCCCATTATGGAAACTTAATTTAAGTTCCTTAGCAGCAACCCAGTTGTAGAACAGCAGTTGACGGAAATCATGCAGTCATCGTAGGAGCAGGGACAAGACTAACAAACCCTCCCCGAAGTAACAATAACAACTATTGCCGAAGGGAAAAATAGACTCTTAGCGGGGCGAGGAATTTCTTTCATTCAGTGGGTGGGAGGATTAGTGCTAACGGAGGGATTACCACCATGTCTCGAATCTGAAGATGTGCTTGTACCCTTGGCACCTTTGCTGATAACAAGAAGATGATACTTGTTGTACAACCTCCATAGGGACTATGCGAGATTCAAATGCCCCAAACCCTGGATCGAAAACACTACACTGGAAAGCCCAAAGTCTGAACCCTGCATTGAACCCGAATTCGAGATCCTGTTGCAGCCACGCTGCCCGCAAATGTACAGGACGCCTGGGCCCAAAGAACCAGCACAGAACATCAGAGGGCAGCTTTAGGGTCCATGATCTATAGTCCCCCTTAAGTGAATATAGGATTTGGCTTTGGGTATATTCGGATAAGATCCCCATATACCCCATATTCTAGCTGTCTACCTAAGGGGGACTAAAGAGTTTAGCGGGCTGAGGGTTTTGTTAGATTTAACAATTCGAGGTTATGGTGGAAAGAACAAAAGGCACACAAACAATCGCCGCGCAACGTATGTCGCACTTGTCGTCTGCCATGGCGAGAGCAGTCTTCAGGCACACGACTCACCACTTGGAATGGCTTGCCGGACCGTACTTTGCTGGCTGGATATGCTTGGCTGCTTTGGGGTATGAAGAGCTATCCACATCACGTGCTTATAGGTCTTGTGACCTCGTACGTACATGTTGTGCGCTGGGATTGAGCCATCAAGGCCGTTCGCCATGGACAACTCCCAGCAGGACCCAAAAGCCCGCAACCCCTGGTCCATTCGCGGGTGCTACTGCAGACAAGAAAGAATGCTCGAATCTTCTCACTTGCACGGCCCTCGGGGGTCGACTAACGTTTCTGTTGGAAGGCATACTCAGATGTCAGGATGCAAGTTAGGCTGTTTTGGGTATTGCCTAAAATTAAGGGTGCCATTTTGGCGGTCCCCATAATAGGAGTTATCGTGCAGTTGGAGCAGGGCTTGCGACCCAAAGTCGCCCCACAAACCATGCGTAGGGCCTGGTCGCCTGCCTTCTCCCCACCCTCTACATGAACCCTAAACCCGAAATCCCTACACCCTTAAACCTGGACCGGAACCCTAAGGCCTAAATTCATTCAGTCCGCGCTCAGGTTCAATCACCGACTGCAAGAAAATCGTAGTGGGGCAAGATAAATGTTGACATTATAAAGTGAAAACCGTAGTTCTATCCACGTAAAGTGACTTGCAACAGGCAATAGACTAAGAATACCGGTAGGACGTTTAAGCACTTAGCCCCAAGCCCAACGCCCGGAACCCTGCACCCCAAACCCTAAACTCCAAACCGCAGAGGCCTTTCCATGCTCTTTAGCTTTTTGGTCGCCGCCTCCAACAATTTGGAGGTTGACCTGGGCAATGAACCACGCCGCTTGAATGTCTCTTGAAACAGGTCCCTAAAAACAAGCTCCATAGGGCGGTCTCAAGCAAAGGAGGGCCGACACATGAGAAATACAAGGGAGTCTGTGCGGCCGGTATTAGGAACAGTTTTTGACACGTTCATCTAGGAATGAAGGTTGTTTCAGGATCATGTTGTGCATGGCTTCGAGTGGAGGGTGCCTTGTATACTTCAGGTATCTGGAAGGGTGCCAATGTATTTAGCAGGGGTTCCTCTGAGTCCGAAGATCTTAGTTCCTCATCGGAGGCTTGTCGCGAAGGGGTTTGTCGCGGAAAGCGGCCGCTGTGACAAGCCCTTTGTTGCGGGAGGGCCGCCCAAAGCCCTTTACACGCCCAATGATTTTGCGCCGCTCCCGAGTGAGGTTCGCATCAGAAAACACGTAGAAGGCTATAGTCCCCCTTAAGTAGATAGAATATGGCTTTGGGTATATCATATACCCCATTACTACAGTAGTTTCCATGTCCTTTCCATTATGCCTATGTATAACCTCAATGTATACCCCTAATATCCCATTAAGTAGAACCTCCAAATGCGTGTTGGCAGCTTCAAAGCCTCGACACGCCCTGCAAACAGCACCCAGCAGGCAGTGAAGGAATGTGCGCGTAACAATGTGCCCCCACACCGCCGCTCTAATCCATTCCCCGGAATCCCAACTCGAATATCTTCAGATAAGCATGGCCCTTAACCCCATATGCCCTATAACCCTAAACCCCAAACCCTAAACCTTAAACCATGTGGCTCCCTAAACCCCCAACCTGCAGCCTTCTGTCGCACGTGGACTTTGAGTTGCCTGCCGCAAAGCCCAAAGCCTACACTTTCAATCTCAAGACCCAAAGCTCAGACCTTAAACCCAGATGCTACAATCCAAGCCCCGAAACCACAGCCCCGCAAAAACCTATATACCCTACATAACCCAACCTCCTCAACCTACACCCTAATACCCTTGAGGCTGCCACTGCGTGTCGAATTTGAAGCCAGCCAGCCCGAAGCTCCAAGTGAGATCTGGCGAGCCCCACCTTGAGAATCAGGTAACAAACACGTTTTAGATAGGCTTTGGGAGGGCTTCGGAGGATTTGTGGGTTGGGGGTTCAGGTTCTTAGGGCATTGGGGGGTTGAGTGGGCTTTTTAGAGGTTGTACAGGTATGGCTTCACAACCTGGCGTTCCAGACTTCACATCAAAGGTGGCAGGGCTGTTGGCGGCTTCCTTGCAGAAGGATCGTGTGGTTGAAGTTCTGAAGTGACGGGGTTCAAGGGGAAGCATACTGTCAAGGGACAAAATGCTGTTCAACCTATGTACCTGGTCCCTAAGACTCCTAGCGCTACTGTCTACTTGGGGTCTGGCAGGTCTTTGCACATCAAGTGTATCACTAAACAATGATCCCCTAGCGGGTTGTTGCATCAACGCGTCAACCACATATTGACCGGCCTAAAAAGCAATTGTTCCGGCTTAAACACTATCTACTGGGGGTTGAGTAGGGAATAAAGGAATAGAATCGCTGTAATCCCTATGTAATTCCCTTCTTCCCTAAAAACCACCAACAAGAATGACTAAAGGGGAGAAAGCAAACAGAACCAACTTGGATGAGGCTCGCACTTTGGGAGAACGGAGCAAACCTGGCATTCTCAAAAAAAGGCATCCTGGGAAGCTGAAGGATATGGGGGGTTTCCCAAACTTCGGGGTACCTTTAAATTTTTAGGTGCGATGTGGATTCATGGTAAATCCCCATTAGACACCCCGGCGCGGCTCTCATCAAAATGTCGAAGGGCCCCTGCTTGCACTACCCCAAAACTACTATCAAAACCCTACCTTACGTTCTGCTCCATGATTACTTGGGGAAGGGAAGATCAAACCATGAGCGCGCTGGCGACATCGCTATCTTTATGACTATGACCCTTCAGATTGCTTACTGTAAAGAATATAACTCCAATATAACCCCATAATATAGTAGTTTCCATTATCTTTTCCATTATCCCTACATAACCCCAATATATGTGCAAAGTTTATGTTTCGGGTTGGGCTTCTATTGCTTCCGACAAACTCCTTCACACATCGCTTTCCAAAACCGTCAAAAAGCAACATTCCATCGCTGGACAGCCGCCACTCAGAAACTGCTGCATGATCTGCATGTTACCTAACTCAGCGGACCGGATAGGTT